ATTAATAATACGTAAATAATTTTAATTAATTAAATAAATTAAAATTTATATTTTAAATAAAAATAATTATAAAAAATATATTTATTACATCATTATTACATACCCTTAAGCAATAAAGATCGGAAAAATCCTATTTTGATGAGCCACTTGTGGAAAACTTTGGAGTTTGGACCTAGTCTTCCCTACCCTACCAATAAAGACATTTAATTTAATAAAGAAAAATCTTTGCGTATTTATTTCGCTATCTAAAGCTGGAATCGACCAAGACACATCGCGGTAGCTACCTTCAATAAGGTATATCACTCTGATTTTATATTAAGATTAATTTTATTTTGAAAAATTAAAGTGCTGATGTTAATTTTATATCTAGTTTTGATCAGCAATTATAACTACCAACTTGGTGTCTGATCAATGAAATAAGTGGCAATTCTTTCATTTTCTCTCTCCCTTTCAAACCCCAATCCAAACTCACTCCAGGTAAAATTATTGTGTTAAATTCCTTTATCCTAAATTCAAATGTTAAATTGAGATGACAACAACTTAAGTTATATAATAATAATTAAAAAAAAAATTAAAGATCATAAATTCAAGTATTACACATACAAAATAAATAAATAAAGAGATGAGTGATAATTACTCTCTACAATTAAACAAAAAAATTGTTAAATTGAGATAAAAAAAACCTCTTGTTTTCAATTGAAGCCTATTTTCCATGTTATTGTTAGAAGCACAAGCAAAATGTGCATTATTCAAGTCACTTTGTTTTTGGAATTTTAATTTACCCATTTGGGGAGCAAAAAGCAAGGAATGTATATTTTGGCTAAAAGCATGAGCAGAATGCAACCAAATCCTTGGAATCAGAATCTACATTTTGGGAGCAAAGAGAAGTTTCTGAAGAAGCCTAGCCAAAAAGTGGGATAAGGATGAACACATATTTAATGTGGATATGATTTAGCAAGGGTTTTGCTTGATTTCATACCAACTAAGAATCAACTCCCTTTTTTCTGTGATTTGGAAGTTATTAGGCATGATGGGTGGAAATGAAAAGAATGAATACATTAAGTCATTACTTAAGGTGTTTTGATGATTCAACACTGCCAGGGCTCAAGATAGAGGAAGTAACCTTTTCGAGCATTCAATAAGCAGTGTTAAGCATCTCCATGACATAGTTCACACTAGGAGGAGTTCTCCATCAAGAAGAATGGAAGCGTATAACAAAACGTCAAAAAATGGTGAATGGTCCAACATAATTTCTGCTGCAGCACTTAGAGAATCAATAATTAAGTTCAAGAAATTGATGAGGAAAACATATTTAATATAAAGTTTAGAAATGGGATACTTGAGATTCCAAAGGTTACAGTTCAAAATAATACAGGGTGTTTTCTTCGTAATACTTGTTATATATAAGTGTGTGCAGTGTAGAGAAATTGATATAGGTAAGGCGGTTTTAGGATCTTATCTTAAAGGTAATAGTTTTCACCTTTATTGAAACGTTATTCTCAAGATACAATGCCTATTATATTGAACTTTAATCACTCAAAACCAGTATACTCAAGCAAGCAACAAAATGCAAAGAAAAGAATGAAGGAAGAGACAAAATGTTTCATAAATCACTTCACGTATAGGGTTGCATTATATTTATTTATATAGCCCCTTGGGTCCTTTTGCAACCAACACAAATAAAGGCCAACTGGTGTCTTTGGCACCAGTTCAAAGAGATGCAATTCTATGAAGAATTGCAACTTATGCCTTTTGGTTTTGAAGCAGTTTGAAACAGTTTCTCCTGCTCTAGCATTCCGTTTCTAAAATTCCTCTTTTCTTTTTGACTTTAATGACCCATACCCACACCCATATATAATATAATATAAATACATGACAAAGTATAGATTAATAGTATATTTTATAACAATATTGTTGTTCTCTTGTTATTAGAAAGTACTATATATATACTAAAATATACAACAATACCATTGCTTGTGAACAATATTTGACATTAAGTATCTGAAAATCTTTAGTGATTATGTGATTCTCATCGATTTTCTAGTAGACATAGAAAAGGATGTGGAGTTACTTTTCCGGTGTGAGGTAATTAGTAACAATTAATTTGGGCGTTAACTGGCTTGGATATCATGTGAGCTACTCTAAAGATAACTTCTTTTATGCTCAGCTATTTAATGATGTCTGTTGGTTTTTTTTTTTAACAAAGAAATGGAGAGAGACCGAGAGGAAGATGATGAAGAGCAGAACACATAAAATGGAGAGAAGTGTATGACTTCAACTCAGATTTTCTCATTACAATCTTTCCTATTTATAAGAGAATACAAACTCAATTCAAAATTTAAATCTAAGCAACTATTCTACATTTAAAAACAATAAAAGTACACTTTAAATTTGAAAATAACAGACACTTTTGCTGCATGCTTGCGTCCTTTGGCAGCTCTGCAGCATGCTTGGTCCCTTCATTTCATTTGCATTTGCATTTGAGTTTGCATTTGCATTTGCATTTCATTTGCTGCTAATTTGCAGCTTCATTTCATCAACATTTGCAGCTTAGCTTGCTGCACATTTTTGCTGTCATTTGACAGCTTCATTTTCATTAGATTTGCAGCTAAATTGCTGCCATATTTGCTGTCAAATTGCAGCTTCATTTGCTGTCAATTTCCAGCCTCATTGCTGCCATTTCATGGCAGTTTCATTTCATCAATTCTGCAGATTTGAATGCCACATTTTTAACAATAATTTCAACAATGTCAACAAGCATTACGATTTGCCTTGGAACAAAAGCATGGCAAAGTTAAGGCACAATTACTTCATGGAGACCAACTTTGTTCTTGATCTTCTTTCTTGCTGCAGTCTTCTTGATCCTCCTTAATTATCTTATTACAGACTATATTTACGATCTTCCCTAGGTCTTGAGAGTGCAGGAAACCAAAAGCTTTCATCCATGGATTTGGCTCTTCAGTAGTAGTGACAGCCAGGATTTGTTAAGAGGTGGACTAAATTTTTTAAAAAAGAGAATGGGAGAAGGAAGCTCTAATAGTATTTACTAAGGACCAAAACAGAATCTATGAAGATGTTTTCGGTAATTAGTGAATTTTTTCTAGTTACTTTTGTGAAAAAAAAAACCCTTAAAATATAATTAAAAAATAAAAAAGATTTACTATTTTTTAATCGTAAATCACATCAAATGAAAAAAACAAAAGTCTAACCCTTCAATACTTTATTTTGGGTTATGGGTAAATTAAGTTTTTATCATTAAACTTTACAGGAAAAAGAATTAAACTGTGCATATAATTAAATAATCTAAATTGATTTTAAGTACAATAAAAAAAATTTAAGATTTTTCCAACAAATAGAGGAGGAAGAGAGGAAAAGAGGAGATTTGTTAGCAATTTATAGATTTTTTTTTATCAAAAATTAAAATTTTTTTTACCAACCATAAAGTTTAGATATTAAAAAAAATTTATATTTAATAAATTTACTAATTGTTATGCTAATGTTGGGTTTAAATTTTACTATTGAAACTAACACAATGACCAATTATGATTTTTTATCAACTAATGATGATTATTAATTATCATAAAGGTTAAAAATGTTAGTTGAAACTTGAAACAAAATAAAGATTTTGGGGAAAACAGTGTCTTATATTAAAAAGATTGATGACTAGTGATAGAATTTATGATTTAAATCTTCGGTTTGGGGTTGCATTTCAAACCCCCAGTCTACGCCTAGCACCACCCCTGCTCTTGAGCATACGTGAATAATTGCGCTTTTGGTTATAAATTTAAGGATGAACTTCTATTTCTCAAAAAAATAAAAACAGGTTTGGCTTTTAATTTTTATGTATATAAACAAAATAATAAGGCAAAAAACTCCTTAATTATGGCCGGAATTTGTGATTAGTTGTGCTAGTGTGAGTGCAAAAGACTATTTGTTTATTGTATAATTGGTGTTGCGTGTTGATGCTATTGTGTTTGTAATTGGCATAGCAAAAGTCTTGGTCTTCCCCGTCATTTTTTGTTGTTTGCGTAGATTTTTCTAGATCTTACAATTGAGAGTTGAGACTACCATATTTAAATTATAAGGCTTGGATATATGGATTTTGAATTAGAATTTATTTATGCATAATTTTTGTACATATTACTTACCTAAAATTTTAAATATTTATCTTTTTTATTATTTGAATATGATTTATTCACTTTTTATTATATTTTTTTGAAAATAATTAATTTTTATTTTTATTTAAAAAATCAGAATAAAATTTAATAATTTATAGTAGAGATATAAATGACCAAAATTTTGTATAAATAATATTTAAATCATGAATTTTGGGTAAAAAATAATGTGTAACTGCATCATGAAATTTATAGTAGAGTCATGGATTTTTTTATTTCTTTCACTGTTCAAGAAATTTAAATATTTTTTAGGTGAATTAATAGTATTAATACTAATGATGATCAGTGACTTTAGGTGAATCAATAGTATTAGCAATTTTAACCCCCCAAAAAAAAACCTACTAACATTTAGTTGAATTGGTATTTACTAATTTAAATTTTTTAATTTAAAATCAAAATCAAAGGTTTAAATCTTTGTGATGTCAAGAAATTAACACCCCCAATTAGGCTTGGTAAATAGGAGGGATGGGTTGAGTTTATGTTGGGTCAATTAGGGTGACAGAATTACACAAATTGGGTTGTAAATGAATTGCAAGTTGACAATGACTAACCGTAACTTGATTTTAACGAGTTACTGATCGACTGGCAAGTTTATCTTATTTTCATTATTTACAATTTTTTTAATTTTATTATATTCAAATAAAATTATAGGGTATCTAAATCTAATTAAAACTTAAAAGTTCTAAAATAGTGTAAGTTGATTAACACTAAAAACTTTATAGTTTTCACCACAAACATTTAAATTAAGAAAAAAATCATAGGTTATATATAACAATAAGTTGATTAATAATATTAAACTTAAAATATTAAAATTTAGTGAAAAATAAAGTTTGAATTTTGCAATCATTATCTCCAAACAAAATTTTTCAAAAAGTTTAAGCTTCTCCTTAAGATGAAATTCTTCTTTCAAGAACTTTTTCCATTAAATTGTTATGTGTATATCCTAGCATCACATTTTCAATATTTTTAATTGCATTATCACTTAATTCTTGATACTTGGTAATTAGATCAAATTCACACAATTTCTAGAAGAGGAAAAACAAGAAATGATAGCAAACACTCAAAATAGGTTCAAAACTATGTGAATAATGGAGAGAAAAAGTATGAATCAATGATAAGAGTTATTAATAGAAAAATTAATTATAAATAGGAAAATAATGAATACACCCTGTTCTGTTACATACTAACGATTTTCATTACTTAATTCGTTACTTAATCTATTACACACTTCGTAAGTCTCCAAATGCACGTAGCCCTTTCTTTCTCTCTCTCTTCTTTCATTTCTCCCTCTCGCTGTTCCAACCTTAGACACTTGAAATAAGTCTATTTTTGGGATGATATAGCAAAAAATGGAGTGCATGTGATCGGAGCCAATTGGCAGAAAAGGGAAAAGAAAACATGAGAAATTTCTACAGTTTTGGTACTGTGCATAGCTTTGTTATTTTGTCCAATTTGCAAAACTTCACTATTGAATTGGGCTAAAATTTTGTCTGGGTGTTCAAGAGATATTGATCTACATTTTGAATGGTTAGTTTTTTTTTTTGGAGTTTTGTAGGTTTTGATTTTGTGCCCAGATCAATAACTTGTTTTTGGTGATCAGTTTTTCTGTAGTTTTGGTACTTTGCATAGTTTTGCTATTTTGTTTGATCTACAAGTTCACCATTGGATTGAGCTTAAATTTTGTCTGGGTGTTCAAAAGACATGATCTACATTCCTAATGGTCAATTTTTTGTTTGAAGTTTTGTAGGTTTTAATCTTGTGCTCAGAAAAGTAGCTCTTTTTTGATGATTTATTTTTTGTAGTTTTGGTACTATGCACAACTTTGATATTTTGTCCAATCTGCAAAAGTTCATCATTGAATTGAGTTGAAATTTTATCTGGGTATTCAAGAGACATTGATCTATATTCTGAATGATCAATTTTTCATTTGGAGTTTTGTAGATTCTAATTTTGTGCCTAAAATAATAACTCATTTTCGATGAACCGTCATTATGTAACAAATTACGTAATAGAGATCATTAGTGTGTAATGGAGTCTGTAACAAAGTAAAGTGTATGTATCAGTGTCTTCAAGAATAATAAGAATAATATTTATAAAAAAAGTTAAAACCCCTTTTTGGTCCCTGAACTATTGTACGGACCCCCGATTTGGTCCCTGAACTAAAAAAATCCCTGATTTAGTCCCTACTGTTTACTATTTTTACCCTGATTTGGTCCTTCCGTCAAATATCAACCTACGTGTCCCGTTACTTGACGGGAAAAACGATGACATGTTAAAACATTTTGACACCTAGGATGTATAGTATGAAAAAAATGAGATGGCAAGAAAAAAATCTTAAAAAATTTCTTATTCTTTTTTTTTTCTTCGTTTGTTTTTCCTTTTTCCCTTTCTTCTTCCTCTCCCTTTCTTCTTCCTCTCCCTTTCCTTAACCCTAATTCCTAATATTAAATTCAAGGATAACACAACAAATCAACAGATTAAACTCAATAGATATTTGACCCAACGGCTGCTGGGTTCGAAACGAAACCCAGAGCCTCACTTGCAGGAACTCAGCAGCTGCTCAAACCCAACACCTGCTAGGTTCGAAATCGAACCCAGCACCTGCAAATGAACCCAACACCTGCAAAAACCTAGCATTCAAAATTGACAGAACCCAACACCTGCAAAAACCTAGCATTCAAAATTGACAGAACCCAACACCTGCAAAAACCTAGCATTCAAAATTGACAGAACCCAACACCTAACACCTGCAGTAATGCCTTCTTCATCTTCATCAATCAATTTTTTCATCACAATCAAACAACAAAATCCAAAAAACAAAAACAGAATTTTTTTTTTAATTTTTTGCACTTGGGTTCACAAGGAACCCAAGCGTGCTGGGTTTGTAGGAACCCAAACGCGAACCCAGCACGCTTGGGTTCCTTGCGAACCCAGCGCCTGGGTTCGCAAGGAACCGAACCCAAGCGTGTTGGGTTCCACCAAACCCAGGCATGCTGGGTTCGGTGCGAACCTAGACGCGAGCCCAGCACCAGACGCGAACCCAGCGAACCCAGCACTAGACGCGAACCTAGCACCAGACCCGAACCCAGCGAACCCAGCACCAGACACGAACCCAGCGAACCCAGCACCAAACGCGAACCCAGCAAACCCAACACCAGACGCGAACCCAGCACGCTTGGGTTCCTTGCGAACCCGGTGCCTAGGTTCGCAAGGAACCCAAGCGTGTTGGGTTCCACCAAACCCAGGCATGTTGGGTTCGGTGTGAACCCAGCGCCTGGGTTCGTAAGGAACCCAACGCCTGGGTGGGTTCCGAGGGGAAAGAGAAGAGAAAGGGGGAGGAGAAAGAGAAAGGGAAAGGGAAAGGGGAAAGAAAAAAGGAAAAAAGAAAAAAGAAAAAAATTTTTAATAATATTTTTCATAATATTTTTTTATATTATTATTTTTTCCACATCATCACTTTTTGGTCTTCCACGTAGATTGCTATATGACATGTCATCTGGTAACCGTGAAGTAACAGGCCATCTCACACAGTTTTTAACGGAAGGATCAAATCGGGGTAAAAATGGTAAACAGTAGGGACTAAATCAGGGATTTTTTTAGTTCAGGGACCAAATCGAGGGTCCGTACAATAGTTCAGGGACCAAAAAAGAGTTTTAACCTAAAAAAATAATAACCAAAAAAGAAAGCAAATGGGTTAACCATGAACCTATAGGTTGATTCAAATCCGATCTGTGACTCGTGTGAGTGGATGCTGCAGGTTATTTATGGATCACAAGTTGGGATATATACGCCAGAACCCCTTTTACGGATCAAATGGCAAAACCTCCGATATATATATATATATATATATATAACTTATGTAATTCTAATTATATCATACTATAAAATTTAGATTTTTTTTTTATATGTAAAGATTTAGGCTCGAATTCTATACTTATAGCTAAGAGTTATAGCTAAGAGCATAGGTACTTCTAATACCTAATCACATGATCGATGGTCTGCAATTAGACTATTAAATGAGGAATAATCATTATTAATTATTAGGGCTGTTTGCTTCCGTCTAATCATTTTTATTGTATTTTGTATATATATGTTTTTTTGTCTTGGGTTATTAAACAATTCTTAGGTTGTACGATGAGAGCTTATTTTTTTTTTAATTTTTTAATTTATTTTATTTATATATCATATAATTTAAATTTAAAATATATTATTTT